GGGGGGGGGGGGCTTGTTTTTCCCGTAGGAGCGACGGCGTGGTAGGAGGTACTAGATTGACCTTGAGGGTGGCGATGGGAATGGGAAGGGAGAGATTTCCGCGCCAGCCGCGGGTGCTCCACACCTGTGTGCGCCCGGGCGGATTTCTTCATCCCCTTGAGCTTCGGCTGCCTCGTCCGTAAACCCGGAGCAGCAGCTCCTTCGTCATGTGTCACAGCGGCAGTTAGAGTCAGCTGCCTGGCACCTGGCAGTAACGTGATCTCCAGTCCGTCACTGCCAGTGTCATCCAGGGTCCCAGCAGGAAATGGGGGCACATTTAAATTGGGGTAATTTGAGAAAGGTTGGTAAAGGGGCTACCTGTGTTTATAAAGGGGCAGGGCAGGGAAACCTGGAGGGAAGGTTAGTCTCCCAGGGCTAGCAACGGCAGGACCTGCGTTCACCTTGAGGCCCGAAGAGGTGAGAGGAGTGGCCGGTTTTTTGAAAAGTTGTGTGGACAGGGCACTAGTAGGTGTCATGCCAAGGCCTGCTCCTTTCCCCTTTCCCCTTTCCCCTTTCCCCTTTCCCCTTTCCCCTTTCCCCTTTCGCCTTTCCCGTGGTGGTAGCATGTGTTCTTTCACAAGGCCTCTGTGTTATTTCTGCACCCCCCAGGTGCAGTTTGTGCCGTTAGGGAGCTAGGAAATCTGTTAGCAGATCACTTTGTGCATTGGCCAAGCCGCCTCTTTGTTTAAAGCATCCTTTGTTGTGGATGAAGTTCTGAGGCCAGAATAGACCAGCATGTGTACTCACTTGTCAGTGCTGATTGAGCTCTGATTTTGAGGAAATGGAGACTTCCCAAAGTTAATAACTTGCCTAAGGTCACAGTTTGTGTTTGTTTGTTTCATTAGAAGTTTTTCTGTATTTCAGAGAGAACCAAGTGTGTTCTTAATGGAATTGTAACAGACTGGAAGGAACTTTATGGGTATTATAAAAAGCCTCTTTTATTGATTTTTTTTTTCTTCCTTTTCCTGGGGGTTAAATGTTTCATTTCTGTTTCAGAGACTTTCCCAGATAGCACATTTATTTTGTTTGTGACAGAAATGTGTTGTCACCAGTGGTGAAAAAAGCTAAGTTATTTTGATGATGGCATTTTAAATTTCAACTTGTTTCTCTTTGTTTTAGCTGTCTATCAACGTCTATGACTACAACTGCCACGTGGACCTGATCCGGCTGCTCCGGCTGGAAGGGGAGCTCACTAAAGTGAGGGCGGCCCGCCAGAAGATGAGCGAGATCTTCCCTTTGACTGAAGGTAACACTTTACCAGCCAGGCTGCTTCTGTAAACACAGAATTTGCAAAATAGAAAGTGCCCAGCAGGTACAGGATATTTTGATTTTAGTGATTTGATTTTATTTGGAGCCCTAAACTTCTGTGGTTGGTGCAGGTTTTAAGAATTGAATTTCTGTGAACTGTGCCAGGTTGTATAAGAGGGATGAAACGTTGCATGCCGGTGACTAGCAGTAAATTCCTGCTTTCCGACTGCCCTTTGGAGAGGGAGGTGGTAAAGCAAGAGGCGCTGTTGTTTTGTAGAGCTCTGGCTGGAGTGGCTGCATGATGAGATCAGCATGGCCCTGGACGGCCTGGACAGAGAGCACGTGTACGACCTCTTTGAGAAAGCTGTGAAGGATTACATATGTAAGTTCCCTGTGGACCTTTTCAAGTGCGTCTTCCTTGTCACCCCACATCAGTCTCTGCTGTCATGGGTTGTGTTGTGAGATGCTACTACCCAGAAAAGAGAGCATTCGCCTAGCAATTAGGAAGACTTGAGATCAGCTATTATCATTATTGGTGGTTTTCAGTTGAAGATACTTGGTTTTAAATATAAGCATACCTCATGGTATTGCAGTTAGCTGTTTTACTTCACAGATACTGTGCTTTGTTTTTTGTTTTTTTTTTACAAATGGAAGGTTTGTGGCGACCCTGTGTTGAACAAGCCTATTGGCACCATTGTTACCAACACTTTCAGATGATAGCATTTTAAAACAGTACACTATTTTTAAGTTAAGGTATGTACATTTTTAAAGACATAATGCTGTTGCACACTTAATAGACTATAGTATAGTGTAAATGTAACTTCTCTATGCACTGGAAAACAAAAAAATGTGTGTGACTCTCTTTATTTTGATATTTGCTTTATTGTGGGGTTCTGGAACTGAACCTGCAGTATCTGTGAGGTCTGTCTGTACAAGTAGAAGAAATATATGTAGTAAGTGGATGAATATACTCCTAGCATTTATCTGGCAGGAAGAATTTACATGCTATTTCCAGGCGACTAACCTTTTACACATCGAATAGGTTTTTAGAAGTTTTGGACAGAATTTTTTAAATATCAAAAAATCTAAAATTTCTTGTTTTGAAATAATTATGCATTTACAGGAAATTGTAGTATTAGTACAGGTAAATTGGGATGCTTATTGATGATGCTGTTACCTTTTTGCATGAATACTTTTTTGGTGCGCACATTTCTTTTATGCATTATTTTTGATATTTGGGTATTTCATATTGTGAACTAATAGAACACTTCTCATTTTTAGGTCCAAATATTTGGCTAGAGTATGGCCAGTACTCAGTTGGTGGGATTGGTCAGAAAGGTGGCCTTGAGAAAGTCCGCTCTGTGTTTGAAAGGGCTCTGTCATCCGTCGGTTTACATATGACCAAAGGACTGGCCATCTGGGAGGCTTATCGGGAGTTCGAAAGTGCGATTGTGGAAGCTGCCCGGGTGAGTTCCCTGTCTTCGTGCCAGTGCTTAGTGCTTGCCTTTGAATAGTTGGGGCTGTTTTTGTAAGTGCTCTTGGAAGAACATGCTAATAAAAATAAACTGGTCTTTGCCAATCCATTAGTGTGCGGA